AGATTAAACCCAGGGCCTTGTACATGCTAAGTGAGTGCTCTACCACTGAGACATCCCCAGCCCTCTAATTAATTACTGAAAATTAGTTTCATCTTTCTGAAAATTTATAAAGTTTGTAAAAACAAACAAAAAAGGCATTCTTTACACCACTGGCAAAATTTTAAGCAAGGGGTTACTTTTAGGTTGTGATAATGTACATTTAACTTGGGTCCTGAAATTAATGTTGCTACCATCAATTTTAATATATGGCCATGAAATTCTTAAGAAATAAACTTCAATTGTCACTAAACAAAGCATAAACAAACTTCAATTGTCACTAAACATTATACCTGTGCTTTGCAGGTATAATGACTAAATTAAATATTCATTGTGAGAATGCTCTATAACACTGAGATATTGAATGAATATAGGTTCAGAGAGAAATGCCAAATACATGGCTATCAAGAAAGCATTTTTCAAAAGGTTGTTTCAAAGCAAACAAGCACTCATGTAGCATTAAAAATAAAAAGATATGAGATAAGATAAAAGGTAGTAAATGAGAAGTACATTATTATATCTTACTTGTCTGAGGTCAATAAATGCTAGCTGTAAGGTATCCCCCTGGAATCCTGGCACAGGCTCAGAGCTGGCAAACACTATTAAAAACATAAAAAATAAATTAAAAGGAATTAAAACAAGATTGTAAAATACACATGAGTTGAACTGCTAAATTTTACTCATTACACATATATTATAATATTTACACATAACCATTTCAACTATTTATAACTTCAAATTTCTACTAGTGAGATTGTTTTCCACACCCATTACCACAAATATTTTAATAATGTTAAACTTCTAATCTGCCATTTAATCACTATAATCCTTAATCACAATAAATTTAGCAGGGTTATCCAACATGCAGTTCAAAAGTTGTAATACACTTGACTCTTTTTAGCCTTAGGTGAATGATTATAGAAACATTTTGAAACTATACCAATTCCATGGCTGTCAACATATTCCAAACATTTGCTTTGTTATACAATAGGCTCTACAAAAATCTTACCTCTAGCTAATAGCAATAAAAGGCAGACAAGAAGTCAGCTTTACATGCAGACAACAGGTAAAATATCCAAAGCAGAAAAATCATGATTCAAGAATGTATACTCACATCTTTTAATAAATTGTTTTCATAAAGGAATCTTGTTTCTTTAAAACTAAAAGTTATCTTAATATTTTAAACATTCAAAATATCTTTAATTCTTTGCATTTAAAATAAAAATTTTAATACTATGCACACAGCTTTAGTTTAACTAAAGACAATCTCAACAATATTAGTTATTTTGAAGACAAAGCACTCTGGGTTCATAAAAAAAAGACCCCATTATTTTTGTTTCTGTGCTAAGAATGTCTATACTCATTCTCCCTC